TTAAACTTAACGTCTGATTATTTTCAAATCGCCGTAAAACCCGAAGATGTTGAAAAGACTACGTTCATTACAAAGTCAGGCGTCTATGCCTTCTTAAGAATGCCGTTTGGTTTCAGCGGAGCACCGGCTACTTTTCAAAAAGCAATGGACATAGTTTTAAGGCCAATTTGGAGTAAAAGTACAATCATTTATTTTGATAATATAATAGTCACCAGCGAAACAATAGACGACCACTTGGAAGAAGTTTCTTAATTTGCTTAACGAGGACGGTTTCAAAATAAATGCAAAAAATGCAAATTCGTTGCCAAGGAATTGCGGTATCTTGGGTACAAGATTTCGAATAAGGGCATAGAGACAGATAATTCGAAAATATTAGCAATTAAATGTTACCCTCGCCCAAACACCGCTAGGAAATTATCTTCGTTTTTGGGCTTATGTTCCTATTACAGAATGTTTATTAAAATCTTCGCCAAAACTGTGAAGCCTCTGCTAGTGCTGAAAAGAAAGAAAACTAGATTTTCTTGGACAGCCGAGGCGAACACCGCTTTTGAACAACTAAAAAATGCAATAATTAATGCCAAAGTGCTGAAATTCCCATAAGGCGAACAAGATCTAGAGATTGCTGCAGATGCATCCGATTATGCAATTGGAGCTGTGCTTTCCCAGAAAGGGCAAACGATAGCCTTCTTTTCAAAAACGCTGAATTCTATTCAAAGCAACTATTCAGCAACACAGCGAGAAACGCTCTCTATTTTACTAGCGGTTTAGAAATTTCACGTCTATTTCGGAAGTTCTTCGATAACAGTATACTCGGACCATGCGGCTGTCGGTCGACTGTATTCGGGGAAAAAATTATCGGCTAATCTAATACGCTGGACATTAAAATTACAAGAATTTAATTTAATTATAAAACACATGCCTGGAAAATAAAATTTAGTTGCCGATGTCCTTTCAAGAATAAAAATCGATGAGGAGGGGAATACAGTTAAGTGTGCTTTGCTCATTTTAAAAGTTATTGAATCCCGTGAATACATAGTGGAGGAATTAAGAAAGGATATAAGGTATTTCTCTCTCTTTCCTAGCGTGCCTTCGTGGTGTAGTGGGTAGCACGCTGGGCCGGTATTCCAGAGGTCCGTGATTCGATTCCCGCCGAAGGCGTTTTGCTAATTTTTCAATCTCGCTTGCTTCCAAAAAAAATCCTAATGTCTCTACAGTGGCGCCTGAACTAAATGGGTTGTGGATGATAACTTTCCACACACAGGATTTGGCGATTGGGTCCCCTAAAAACCCCAGTCGCTCTTAAAAAGAGAAGTATATAAGGTATTGCTACTTCTCTCTTAGTGTGCCTTCGTGGTGTAGTGAGTCTGCTCGTTGGGCCGGTATTCCAGAGGTCCGTGGTTCGATTCCCGGCGAAGGCGTTTGCAAATTTTTCATCTTACCTGCTTCCAAAAAAATCCTAATGTCTTTACAAGGATCCAGAATTTAAAGATATTTAAGCATATCTTGAAGACCCCCGAAAAGTTTGAACATATAGATTTAACAGCTATTCGCAACAGGGCGGAGCATTACGAAATAATCGACAAACTGTTATTCTGTACAAAAAAGTAACAAACGATAATCAGGAATACTGGCCAGTGATCCCAGCGAGTCTACGTTTAAATATTTTAGAAGAATTGCATGATCTGCAGAATTAAAAGAATTGCTGTTCATTTCGGAATTCGTACAGAGTGTACGCGAAGCTGTTTATTTTCCGCAGTTACAAAGAGTAGTTACGGCGTATGTTAAGTCTTGACATTTGTGCCAATTAATAAATGATGTTAATTACAGCCCGGCCGGGTATTAAAAAACATAAAGGTCACTTTCCCAAAAGAAATGATTGGCATAGATTTTCTCGGACCCTACCCAACAACAAAAGTAAATAAAAATATATATTTGTTAACAATTGTTGACCATTTTTCAAAATGGGTAGAAATAGTCCCTCTCAAACGAGCTTCAGCTATAAAATAGTCTAAGGTTCGTTTTTAAATAAATATATTTTAAAATACGGGGCCCCACTAAAAGTAATATAAGATAATGGAAAACAATTTGTTAGCAGTATATTTACAATTTTTTTACACAGGAATTGGCATACACCATCTAAAAATGGTACCGTACCATATAGACCGCAATCGAATTTTTCGGAACTCATAAATAAAAATATTGTAAAAATTATCAGGGGATACGTTAAGAATTAACATGACCGCTGGGACAGCTATGTCAATTAGTTAGGCTTTGCCTTGAGAGCAGCAAAGCACGTTACTACATAGAAGACCCCCTGCGAAGTTATTTTTATGAAGAAAAATCATAACGCTTTGAATAAGCTGTTCTTTGTACAGCAAAGACAAGAAGAATTCAAGTTAAAAGACATTCAGAGAATTCACTTATCGATGAAGCAGTTAAGAATTCTGATGTTACAAGGCAGAAACAGAAGATGTATTATGATAGAAATAGAAGGGAAATGGAATATAACTGGGGCAGAAAAATACTCAAGGTGAAACACTCATTATCATGCGCACCCGAAAACAGGGTTGCGAAGTTCGAACCCAGGTTTGAAGGCCCGTACATAGTTGAGAGAATACGGGAAGCCACTTTTTATTTAAAGGCCGAAAATGGCCAACAACTGGTTGCAAATATTGATCAAATAAAGCCTTACTACAGCCTTAATGATTTTCAAATTTTGCAGAATTTATTACAGAATCCTGGAAGGTAGGAAAGAATTCCGCCAGCTCAAAAGCCCAGCTGGAGTCCCCCAATACAAAAAAGGAAACAGACGGATCAATCACTGGCCAAGCGGATCCAACCGGGAAACGGTCCAGGCGCACAGAAACGGAGGAAAGTAACGCCGACAGACCAACGAGCCAGAACCGAGAATTCAACAAAAACACCAGTCCCGCCGGCCAAAAGAGTGAGGCCTGCTGAACAGCAATTTCAACGACGGGAGAAATCAACAAGACGCAAACTACGCTTTCCTTACCTAAACCTCTTTCATTTCTACGATTGCAACTGGAGAACAAATTATTGAATTAATAAATTTTTTTAACTGAATCTCATCGGTAATAAACATTCAATCTGTAGTCAGTGTATTTTTAGCACGCAATAGAACTATCACATATAGTGATGCTTTAAGAAATATTTCCGAGAAACGAATTTCTCACACCATTAAATTTAAAGTCATGTTTGCGATGAATTGCGCGTACGTAGAGGTAATACATTACGAGGCTGAGGATAACGCTTCGCCAGCAGCTTATCCCGCTTAGGAGAGAAAGCAAATAATAAACTAGTTCTTAAGATATCTTTGCGCAGTGAACCAATCACATTTACCGAAAGGAGAGTTTCCTGGGAATATTTTTTTTTTTCACTAGCAGTTGACGGAAGTTAGCAGTTTGCGTACTGTTCGTATTATGCTAAAGTTATGACAATATAAGATATCTTCCTAATCGTAGTTTTGAAGCTTTAAAATTTAGATAACTATTTACAACATTTAGAGATCAGAAATTTAGACATGATCCGCATATAGGGCAAGATTTTAATATCATATTCATTACGATTGCTAATATTGTAGCTATCATATCCAACAACGCCATGAAAAAAAACGAATGGGAAGAACAAGTGCAACTCTTGCTGAGAAAAAAAAGGTGCAACTAAATACCTTCAGCTTTAGCGATGGCATACAATTTCTGTCCAAAACTATTCCATTTCAGTTCATCATTCCTCAGATACGATCTCCGAGAATTTTGTCCCTCTCTAACTTGATCACTTACCTCACGAAAAGGGGACGAATTTTCTGTCTGTCTACTTCACACAAAAAGCTAAGTTAGATTAGATTATTTGTATAAATTAAAGAATAAGAGTTTTATTACGTAGCAGAGGGGTGTTTTCATAGAGAACTTTCTAAAGTAAACTGGTTCATATTAACGTTACGCAGGAGGAAATGCACGAAAATCAACCATCTAGTCTGTCCTTTCGCCTCAGATCGAAATCATGTGGAACCCCCAGCCTTTATTAACACTGGGTCACTGGTGGGGCTCCACGCAGCCGAGAAAAATTAAAATATTCATTAAAACGGAATGATCTGACCTCTATATCAGTATATTAACTACCTACCCTAACGATTATAAAAACTCGTAATTATGCAAATCATGAAGATTACCGAAAAGAAACCAATCTCTATATTACTCCATTTGCTAAACGATATATGCAATGTTTGCCCATGTTACTCATCTGTTGAATACAGAGTATGCTATAGGTAGCTTTACATGAATTTAAGGGAGATATATAAAAGTCTCTTTGCAACTGTCGGCTATCAGAAGGCATTTGTAAGTTAAAAAAGACCTATTTTGAATTTAGATGGTATTTCCTTTTCACCAGTGCTCTGCTGTATAACCTGTACACTAATTCGATATTCTTTGCTTGACAAAGAAAGTCCTCCACAGAGGGACCTCCCTCTCAGGCAGAGAGCCCTCGTGTGTTTTGAAATATTCACAGAACCTCAAAATTTCGATGTATGTTGCAATCTACGTTTTACATTATAGATGGGAGAAACCACGAAAACGATTTATACAGATAACCATTCTCCTGACATCGAACCCAATTAGAACATTCGATATACATTGCTTATAGAAACTCGGGATACACCTGTCAGGAAAAATTGCAAATATTAATACGCGTTAAACAGAAAGATTGAATTTCAAGGGTATCAGCTCTTTGACAATGTGCTGGCGCCTAACATGTAAAAATGAAATAAATAAACATAATCTTAAGCAAGTAATGAATTATTTGGGAAAGAAAGAGTGAAAAATAGTCATGGGCCGACCCATAAAGAAATTCTTTAAAAATAAAAATATTTGCATGCCTATGACAAAAAGACTAGATGGCGCTGAAAGAGATAAGAGATAAAAGGTAAGTATTTGGAAACTGCCTTATCTAGATTTGCCACTAGAAGCGAATGCGTTATTACAAAACGAAAGCAATGAAGGGCGTGTAATTTTAATACACACAGGTGGAGAGTTATTTTATTCTGAGAAGGAGAAATCCTTACATGAATTCAACTGCATACCATCAAACAGAACATATTTAAAAATGGAAGGAAGCGAGCCATCAGGTATGTTTCATTTTAGATACTTCTGAGTCGTTACCAGAAAGTGAAATGATTAGGAAATTGCATTTATAGAAGGTAGATAATTTCGTACGCTAATTTTGCCAAAGGCTTCCGTTACAGTAGTTGGATTTTGTTTCTAAATTTCAATTAACAGTCGATGTAACGTTTCCTAGTTTTTCTTAGTTCCCGAGTTTAGGAAGTAACGTTTCCTAGTTTTATTCTAAAAACTTAAATCTTTGCCAATAATTTCGAATGTCAATAAAAACCTATTATATTGCAATTAATATTTATATATAATAGACAAACGTGAATGGATTTGAGAAAATAGCCTTCTTTTTGTTCAACAGGTGTAAATAATTCACACAAATATTACTCAGACTTCGTCATGTATTCCTTCTGCTGTAGCATGATGCGTTAGTTATTTTTTCAGCAATGTGAAATTGATATGGTAGAAGCAGAAAATTGTGATGGATGTTACTTTCAAGTAATGAATGCTTCATTTCAATGAATTCTCCATTAGGAACGGGGCAAAATGACTGATGGATTTCGAATCGACGCCGCGCTATCAATACGAACTCAAAAACAAACTGAAATACCTAAAATAACTGAAGGAAATTACTGAAAACTAAAAGTTATATTTAATTTTATGCCATCAAATATCAGACAGTGAGTTTTTTTGTCTTTGAATATAAAACAAAAAATAAAAAATAGGTAAGTATTAAATGGAAAAGTAAAAATATGTGGAATAAAAAAAATATATTCGGAGATCGGACCTACTATTTTGTGTCTTTTCTCTTGACTTCCTCTGCTACAAATGTTTCGCTATTTCAATTATAACGTTTCAACTTTTATGAAGTTGAAACGTTATAATTGAAATAGCGAACCACTTTTATGACTGGCCACTTCTCCCTGCATAAGGGCCTACCAGCGGCCGATCGGTAAAGTCGCCGAACATTAGTAGTTCGGTCCAAAGTTCGAAATAGTCGCGAACGGGCTGGCTGCATAGACGTTCCTGTGGATTTCTCCATCTTTAACGTGCATACTAGCCTATTTTCCTTAGAACGTTCTCCACGAAGGCATCCCTCCTCTTAGGAAGATAGTCCACCAGTGCTCTGCTGTAATCACATAAACGAAACATCCCTTCATAAGATTTTGTACCTGTATATATTCATTTTCCTTAATAAACCTCAATTCGGATTCCAACTATTACATTATTCTTAAAATAACTTGTTAACATTACACTTCGCAATTATTATCAAATCTCTTATTTAAGGAAGAAAACAGGTTTTAAAAGTACAGGTTTAACGTACCTTCACTCGTTTTCATCTGGTATGGCAATTGATTCGCTAGCGGTTGCAAGACCAAAACTAGAGACTGCAACGTCTGTTTCCTTAATAATGTTGTTACTGCTATTGTTAAGATATTTCATTTCCCTAATTTTTATAATAAATATGTAAAAAACGGTAAAAATGTAACATAGAGCAATGTAAGAATTTCAGAAAGCCATTCATACGTCTACAAGCGCATAAATACATATAAATTTACTTGATTCTTCGAAAGAATTTCTGAAATACAACTTATTTCAGAAATTCATAAAGATTTCAATTTCTATCTCGCTGCGCTTACACCACCAATATGTGAAAAAAAGATGGAAAACGCTTTTGCAAAACGGATTCATTGCAAAGACATTAAGTTACTTGCTGTACACATTGCATTCCAATTTGTAAAATATGAGTTGTCAAAAGAGAATCATATAATAGCTAAAAATTAAAAATAATTTACGAAAAAAAAAAAGAATTAGATAATTTAGATTTCTCTCTATAATTATGGAGAAATTAGTGAAAATTATAAATTGTAATCAAATAAATTTATCAAATTTAATAAAATAAATCAAATAAATTTATTCACCATTAAAGAGAAATAAATAAAAAAATAAAAAATAACAGATAATTAAAAATAAAAAGAAAAGAAAGCAAGATAAATAAGAGCAATTCTAAAAGATTTTAGATTTTAACATTTATCCAAAATGCCTATTTCAAAAGTTATTGTTTATGAGTAGAGATTAACAATACACATGGTCTAGGTCCAACAGCAAAACATTTTATAGATATTAAATGGATATAGGTTTAGACTAAAATGGGAACATTATATTACTTCTCTATACACAAAAAGTGAAATATATGTAATGACAGTCTATAAAAATATTTATTTAATTTATATTTTTAAAATTTTCTATTTAATGTTTAATATATGCATATTGGTTTTTTGTTAATTTTTACTTAAATATTTATGTTTTAATATATGTATATTTTTTTTTATTAATTGTATTTAAATATTTAATGTTTGCGGGTTAGATATGTCCTAAATTAAATGCATTTTGGTTTAAATCTATCAGATTAAAAGGTAAGAAATATTGTATTTTTTAAGCACTGTATCTATTGCATTTAAAAAGCTTAGTCTGTTCACCAATAAAGAAAGAGGAGACTCTACGTGAAATATCTTACTTTTTGGGGCCCACCAGCGGCCGAGCGGTAAAATCGCTAAACACTGGTAGTTCGGTCCGAGGTTCGAATCCCGCGAACGGGCTGGCTGCATGGGCGTTTTCGTGGTTTTCCCCATGTGTAACGTGTATACGAGCCAGTTTCCCTTAGAAAGTCCTCCACGAAAGGCATCCCTCCCCTTAGGCAGATAGCCCTAGTGTGCTTTGCCGTATTCTCAATACACACACAGTTTATCTTACTTTTTGCCGAATGACAGCAGGCTTCAATGAAAAGTGAAACAGCGCATAATCACTCCACATTTTCAAAAACTAATATATTTAGCACTTTTGGGCTAAAAATATATACAAATTAAAATAAATTAATTGTAATAAGAGGAATTAAACATTAAATTAATGCGTCCTAAAACGAACTGAAATAAAAGTTGCATTAATTTTATACAATTCTTGCTATTAAATTTGTCTTAAATATACTGTAACATTTACGTTTGGTATTAACTATGTCGTAATTTTCGTTCCTTAATTTCCTTTACAAACTATTTTACTATTTTAGGAGACAAGAAGTTTAATGAGGTTGATGACATTAGGACTTCAGTGTCTCGCCTTTTACAGAAAACATTGCTTACAGACGTAGAATTCCGTGCAGTTGTCGGAACATCAGCCAAAGTTTTTCCTGCGCACAAACTCATCCTTGCCTGCAGAAGTCCTATTCTAGCTGACAGATTCTACAAGGAGAAGGATACTTCTGTAATTTTTGAATCTGATGTCGGACCTTTAGGCATCGAGCAAATGATTAGGTAAAATTAATTCAATTTTCTTTTCAGAAACTTTCGTGCAAATTATTTACAAGTAATTTTACAACATATAATAAAAGTTTAATTTTAGAACTAGACAAACCTAAACCTTGTTTAGAATTAGCTTAAAAGAAATGCTCATCCAGTTTTTTTTTTCGTGCATCTGATATTTTAATGATTATAACGATTAACAGGATATTTTAACTTGGCGATGAGTTAGGTTACTAAAATATTAGTTGAATTATTAGCTATAGCTTCATAATTAAATAATTAATCGGAATCCGTGTCAATGGTTTTGATAAAATGTGGTGAAAGAGAAAATTAGAGCATGTGTAGCATATGTGATTGAAACAGTTGGGAAAAATTTACATTGCCTTCCAAACGCTCAGCAAGTATTGCCAATTGGAAATTTTGCAAAGCCTAGTTGAATTTGTGTTGCTGAAACTTGCTGCGGATCTAGATGGTTGTGCGCAAATACCGTATATTACAGCCAGTCACGATTGTAGATCTAAACGTATGCTAATTAGGCAATCGTTGAAGATGTTATCATCCTGAAGGGTTCAGAAGAAGGTCCATTAAAATGCTACTCGAATAGGTTATAATTTTTTGAGAGTAAATTGTGATAATGTAATTATTCCTATGGTTAACAAAAGACATGCAGAGCTGATGTGAAAAATGTGCAACGCCCTCGTCGGGACTCGAACCTGAATCTGTAAATGCGCGTCCAGTGTGCTTCGCATTACACCACGAAGGCATGCTGAAAGGAGAGAGAAAATACTTTATAGAGGAATGGGAGAAAGAGAGCGCTCTCTTGCTGTTGAGGCATTGAAGTAGAACAACCAATCAATGATAACACTGATTTCTTCGGAATTCATTATTTAGCTATTTCTCGACTCCGGAAAGAATTTCAAACAAGTTGTCTGGAGACCTGTACGCGATCGAGCAAGAATTACCGCTACTTATCAAAATCGCATGGTTGTTCCAAGCGAATTCAATGAGCCACCTCCACTCTTGATGCATCTTTGATCCCAGCATCTCCTGATAAGAAAATATCTGTTAATACCGTGAGACTCTAAGCCAAAGTAGAAAGTGTTTGTGTTTAACTATCCAATTCGAAAACGATAAGACTAAAGAGGTACCATCAAAGTCTCAATCGCATTTTCCAGTCTGGCGCGATGTCCTTTACACGGGCAAGTTCAGAATCAGATCTATAAGAGTGTGAGGGTTTAGAGATACTGATGTACGAGATTCAGACACAGAACATCATCGAATATCACGCGTTCATAAATTGCAGCATTATAGTATGAAAGGTAATTTTAATGGGATATCGCATTCAGCTGACCAACTCTAATGACGATTCTGTGATGGGCTGCGCGATATCGAGATGAAGCCCTAAGACAATCTGTGAGACTCTACGCTGCAGCAGTCGTTCTGATTTTTCTTACATACATTATAATGTCCGTTCCCATTGATGTAACATCGTTAACGGCTACTTGGAGAGTGAGGGCATTTTTGGTATGGAGTGTCTCCCGTATTCCCCGACATTAATCCCATTGAAAATCTTTGAGATGCCTTTTCCATCCAGCCTCAGACAGCCTTGATGGAGGATTGTGTATTGCTATTATTGTGTATTGACAGTGAGACTTAGTTAATCTCACTGAAACTACTATCTCACTGAAAACACGGGCAATCGCAGTAAAGTTTGCTTGGGTCGCATAGGATATTAACATCAATTTGACTATTTTAGTATAAAACGTAAATTTATGGACCCAAATCTGACGTCACCATATAATTTATGAAATATGTTTTTTTGTTGGCAGAAATGCTTATTTTCCTTTATTCTTAAACTCATTTGACATTTTCATGTGCAATTTTGCGTGAATCAGAACTTTGATTTTCCATTTTTGTTGATTTTCTTTCAAGTGCTAAACCTTTGAAAATCAGTGTATAATTCGACGAATCTCCTGTGCACAGTGATATGTAAGTCATGCAAAAATACATGACGCTACAGAGAATTTGAAAAATTGCCTTATTTTCAGATTTAGTTACAATAACAATTATCAAACGACACATGTGCAATGTGTGAAGTAATTTCAACCTTTTTTTTTTTTTTGTTAAAATTTAACAACGTTTCAATTAACCAATTTCAAAACTTATACAATTGTTGGTTAAATCGAAGAAAGAGTAATCATCTGCAAACAGATTAGTAGTAATTTGCCACGAATGGTATTGAGTTTCCAGCAATTCATTAAAAGCTGCGAGAAATCTAATAACATTAATTAGCCTGCTCATGAATTTTAAACTGAAATTCATAATATAATGAGAATTCATCAAACTATGTACAAGCAATTATATAGACAGTGTACGAAACAAATAAGACAGTTCTACACTGGTGTGTAAAAATTAAGGACCAAGTCGAAAAATTAGCATATCAGCTGAACGAAGAGGCAGAGCGGACAGAAAGACCAATCGGGAGATTAAGTAAGGCGATGTACGGTAGCACATGCGCAGATATGCAGGTAGACGTAATGGGGGAGTGTCTGAGTAGTATAAAGCATGTTGTCGGTGTAAGATCAGTATTTCTGGCAAAGAGACTGCACGCCGTATAGCAGTTAAAATCACACCGAGTTGCTGCCTCAGCGAGAAATGGCGAATAATCAATCTGTTAGACGACATGTGGATGCTTTTACCCGAGGTCGAATCATTGAGAAGTTGGAGGAAAGCCGCAGTGTGACAAGTGTGGCTGCAGAGTTCGGAATTGCTCACAGCATCGTTTCACGACTTTGGAGACATTTTCAAACTACAGGAACAGCTATCCGGGGGGTTAGTAGTGGTCGTCCACGAGGAACCACACCCGCAGATGGACCGGTATATTGCCTTACAGGCCAGAAGAAACAGGCGGCAGACAGCGGGAGAAATCGCTAGACACACGACACAGGCGACTGGACGACCGATATCGCGTTTTACCGTGGCCAGAAGACTGCACGGTGGTGGTCTGTTTGCACGATGCCCTGTACGGTGTGAACCTCTAACGCCTGCCCATCGGAGAAGGCGTTCTCTGTGGTGCCGGGAACACCGGAATTGGAGAGACAATGAATGGGGACGAGTACTCTTTACAGATGAGAGCAGATTCAGTCTGAGTAGCGATTCTCATCGCATACTCATCTGGAGAGAGCGGGGAAGCCGCAATCCTCCCTCGAACATCATTGAAAGGGACAGGTATGGGGGTGGCGGTGTTCTCGTTTGGGGAGGCATCATGCTTGGTAGTCGTACAGACCTTCACATCTTCGACGCAGGTTCAGTCAACGGGACCCGTTATTGTAACGAGATTCTTCTTCCATATGTGCGTCTTTTTAGAGGCGCTATGGGTCCGCAGTTCCTTTTCATGGACGACAATGCACCATGTCATCGCACAGTAGCTGCCGAACAGCTCTTAGAGAGTGAGAATATTGAACGTATGGATTGGCCGGCACGATCTCCGGATCTCAATCCCATCGAGCATGTATGGGATTTTCTAGGCAGACGCTTGGCAGCTCGTGCCTTACCACCAGTTACGATTCCGGAGCTTCGATTAGCGCTGCAAGACGAATGGGCAGCAAAGCCTCAACAACTCATTGACACCCTCATTCTCAGCATGGACAGACGCTGTGAAACCTGCCTAGCAGTCAGGGGAGATCATATCCCTATTAAAGACCGGATGTTTCTTGCTGAACACCCATCACAGGGATGTTTCGGCCTTCAGTCGCATTTCGCTCCATGCTACTTTTTCAATAAAGCTTCTTTTTATTCCTCTGATTTCTCTTTTAGTAAGTGTTGCTTACATTACTCATGTCCTTACGTATTGGGGATCTTACGGTATTAAATGTGTTGATTTGGAAAGCTTTTGTACAAAGTTATATTGAAAAAACCGTCTCGTCCTTAATTTTTGCACACCAGTGTATATCTGTCGTTCTGATTGGCCAACGGACAAGATTTAACACGCGTTTTTCATGTCTCGAAAGCGCGAATAAATCTTAGGATATATAGTAGATTTATATATAGCAAATATTTTCAACATAGGTTTATGGACACAAAATCGGACATTTTCTAACATGACATAACAATTTTAATCCATATTCCGAATCCACGTGTCAAATTATGCCAAAATGAGAAGTTTTGTAAGAATCCCATGAGTATATATTTAAAAATCAAGTCTGAAAATTTTAGCCTCTCAATGCTAATAGCATTGCCTACATATTTATTAACATGTCTTTTCTTTACACTTACATGAGTCCTTCTTTCACAATTCTAAATTCAATTCGATCCAAATGAAATCCGCAGCTTTTTCTCTGATTTGATTTTAAATTTGCGTTTTTCAACAATTTTTTATAAATTTTTGAAAAAAAACTGAATTTCCTATACATTTTTTTCCATTACCTTAACATATTTCTAACCATTATCTTAATGTATGTATAAACATACCTGCAAAAATTTACAGCTTTTCATTCAAAATTCCCAAATATAGAAGTAAATTTATTTATTGGCGTGTTTTGGAAAGTTTGCCATACTTGTTATAAAACGATAATAACACCAAATGTGTTTTATGCCCTTTGTTGAAATTATTTTAAAGAATTAACGGTGAACCTTTTTCCCGGTCTTGCACAATGAGCGGGAAAGGAAAATAGGTTACCATAAAATTATGAACTTCGCCAAGAGGCGAAATATTATTCTTGGCGCAAACTAAAGTCTGCAAATATACATTTTTTAATTTCTCTTTAGGTTTCTCATCAAATTTTGCAAAACTTCATATTTAGGCATTATTTGAGTCGTAGAATTGGAATATGGAAAATAATAGATCTGCCCTTTCAGAAAAAATTCCGATTTTGTGTCAGAATAACTACGTTAAAACAATGTTATACGTAAATGTAATATACATCTGAAATTGCGCTTTCGCGACATTAGAAATACAAACTGAATTTTCATCAATTGGCCCAGTAAAAGGAGAGATACAGAATTGTCCTGTTTTTTTACAGTGTACCTCTTAATGTTCATCTTCTGAATGAAGTTTGAGTCATAAATACAATTACCGTATTTGCCGGCGTATACGACGCACTTTTTTCCATTGAAAATAGGTCTGAAAAACGGGGCGAGTCTTATACGTCGATAATTTTTTTTTTATTTGCGAATGTGGGGATATTACAGTTACGTAGAGTTCAGTAAATAAGCATGTGCTGTCATCGAAGATCACAGCTGAGTTCGTTTAAACTTTGCAGTTTTTGTGAACGTCTTTTAAGTGTGTGAAATTTCTACCGTACACTTTTCTTTAATTTATTGGTAAGTTATGGCTCAAAACCAACGTCGACAGTGCTGTAACACAGAATACAAGCTACGCATGATTGCGTATGCTAAAGAAAATGGTAACAGGGTACAGGGGACAATTTGTGGTATGAGGACTCAGATGCTGATTTAGAAGATATTTCAAGTGACTCTTCATTTAGCTTTGGAGATTAGTATCTGGGTTTTGATGAAGAAGATTAAAAGGTGTTTTTTTCCAGATATATTGGGTGTTTTCAGAAAGTATTACTTTGTATTTGTATTATTTTATATTTAAAATACTGCAAATTCATTATAATGGTCAGTAAAAATGTTTTTATCCTTTAAAATGTGTATACAAAAGCGGTGAGTCTTATACGCCGACAAATACGGTAATTAGTGAAACATGTTCTAAAGCCACGTATAAATGCTCCACTTCCGTTATAAATGTTTCCTTAAATTTTGTATAAACATTTAATCATATTTTAAAAATACTATTCATATTTTTTACAGATATATTTATTTGGATGACATTGACAGTTATTCTGCATTTGCTCTCAAACAAGGGCTTGAAGCCTCATTGAAATACAGTATAAAATCCCTAGAAAACCTTTGCATCTCTTGCCTCATGAACGTGGAGATCACTGGAGATAATGTATACGAAGTACTTGACGCGGCTGACAGAGTAAAACACTACGGAATTCGTCAGAGATGCCTAAATATTCTTATGAATGATACTGAAACGGTGTTGAATTCTTCCGCTCTAAGACATGCAAGTTTGAATACTCTGGTTCATATATTTGAGTTGCCAGAATTAAATATTGAAAGTGAAGTTCGGCTGCTCGAAGCTGCCATCGCGTGGTTACAGCACAACCGAAACAGTTCATCAAGGGCTAAACTGTTGTCATGCATAGACATAATGTCTTTAGATGTCGATGAATTGTTAGCGCTTATAGAAAAGTTTCCAAATTTTTTTACCGATAGCGAAATTCTCAGCATTCTTTCAAATATTCGACATTTCGAATCGCGAGATTTGCCTGCATTTTGCGTAACTCATAAAACCAAAAGGAAGTTTTTGAAAGCTAAATGTAAACCTAACGTGATTTCTAACCTGGGAGTTAGTAACAGTGCGACGCAGACATCGGATTTTATAATGTTGGATAAAAGTACGGGAATTTCTCCCGATGAGGCGTATTTCTTTCCAGTCCAGAAAACTGCATCTGTGCAAACCTCGTTACATGCAACGCTAGAAAAAAGCACGGAAACTTCTGAAGAGGAGATTTATAAGTTTCACTCAACGGAATCTCTGACTACAGGAACGCAAACTACAGTAGTATCAACATTAGATGGATATTCGCAAATTTCTAAATCTGAAGCTTTTTTGTTTAATAGAGAACAAACAGTAGACAAAGAAGTTCAAACCACATCTACTGCTACATCGAACCGAAGCATTCAAACTCCTGATCTTGTCCTGAGATTAAATCAAAACACACAGACACGTAAAAATGATTACGACATATTTATGTCCAGTAACACATACGACACAGAAGTGCAACGGACATTGGTTACGGCAAAGCAGGAAAGCAGTCCAGCTCTTGATGTCGGTATCTATAATTTTTATAGAACCGGCAATGAGAACAAGCCTACTTCATGGCCATCATTATCAGAGAAAAGACACGCTAATACCAAACCGAAAGCTCCTAGAAATGTTCGGGATGAAAGAATACGAATTAATTTTGAAGATCAATCAAGAGATGTACTTCTTTCCTCGAAACAAAATTCAAGGAAGATTAATGATATGGTATCACCTTCCAGTAAAGAGGACATCTCGGATAAATCGGTATGTTTGCTTATTTTATTTCTACTTCATATTTTATGTTTATTTTATTCTATGTAGGTGCAATGGTAAGCAATCCGTATCCATTTCTACACACGCCAATATTTATTTCAAACGTAAACTCCCTAGCCTTTAAAATTCGTATATTTAAACTAACATTTAGCATGACATATAACATGTCCCCAGTAACCGAAACTCGCACTTTTACATAGTAGTTAATAATTTTTAATTAAGACTAGCAACAATGCAAGGATGTGATCATTATAGGCCTGAGCATTCACCAATCCATAGTGAAAGACTCGAACGGTTCTGCGTCCACCCAAAGAGATACCAATCTAAACAGAGACACTGCTTCCTCGCTATGCATCTCTTTCACATATGTTAAATAACGGGTTCCGGGTTCTATCAAAATTAGATAACGACTACTATCACTTTAGAGGATGAACCTTAACTCATTCGTATAGAGAATAGTTGATCACAAATTGATCATCCGGTTCAGTGGACATATTGGCGTGCCCAATTCAAACATTCCGTTCTATGATGTGACGCGAGCGACATGTAAATTTCTGGTCGCCTCACGTGCAAACCTCCTTTATGAAGTCTTCTGCGGACGGTTGTCGTTGATACCAACCTTCTGGTGGCTTCAGCAAGTGTGGATCTGAAATGTGCCGGAGTTCCGGTTCTGTTCCTTTGTGACCATAACAACAAATATCGGTCATCGGCGCACGTTGTAGCCATTGGCCGTCCTCGGCTGTACCTCCTCCATACCAAATCTGTGGTTCAAAATTATTGCCAAAGTCACTGATCCACAGAAAGACTCGCATTTAGCCATCAGGCCACTTCTGTCTGACATTGCATTGCCTCTAGTCTACTAAAAACTCTCCACCACAGTTCTTCGGGAAAATAATGCCTGGAGGTCATTATTACAAATTGGCTACTCCACATTTCTTATCTCATCACCACAAATTTCTCTGAAATCTTACAGGGAAATTTGCAGGCTTTTGAAAACATACAATTTTACAGTTCTCGAAGATAACGTATTCCGATCGCAGCGCGACGAATTTGCTTATTCTAATTTTACTCAGCAACACTTATTTAACAAAATATTCAAATTTTATACGGATTGGCTTATTTTTGAAAGAATTAGACATTTTTGTGACTTTTTCTTAATTTTAAGAAACCAGTGTACTTTCAGTACATTAGAGAGAATCTATGAAGTTTTCTTCAATTTTTTTCTAATCTTTTTTACACCATTTACAATTCTAATACAATAATTTTGTTTTTAATATACTCTTCAACAAACATTTATTTATTTCTTAACTAGTCATCTGAATTCATCTCAGTTAATAGAATTAAAATTGACCTCATTGGAGAACCTACCAACAAAGAGGATCTGAGTAAGTTATTCTATTTTTGTTTCACTTTAATATGATTTTTGCCATATTTTTAAATGTAAGGAACTGTTTAACAAAATTTGTTTCTAATGAGGTATTGCCATGTGTAACGAATGCAGATGCCATCTTTCGGTATGGAATTTTTCTTCCATAACCTTTTTGTTTCAGTTTAGAATCGCTTGAATTGAAAGCCCTTGGAGAGTTTTCAATTCAAGTAATTGTAAAGTCAAACACGTACTATTCGGCAAGTGCCTGAGAGAAGAAGGAATGGATGAACTATTTGACTATGGCAAATCACACTAATGCTACAGGAAACGATGTTACACGAAGGACGTTCTCAGAGAAACTAATCCCTATTGAAACACATGAATGTATATTATGAAACTTAATGCTACTGGTTTAAATAAATACAAGGACTTCAAAATCTGAGCGAACTTCTACCGCACTGCAATTTTAGCCACTCGACTACTGCTCACTCGAGATATAAAAGAAATGTGAAAGAATAGAAGGGAACTCATAAATAGTTGCATTGATTTCACAATTTTAACAATTTTGTTATAATATAATGTTTAAAAAACTTTACTCTTTGTATCCAAAACTGTGAATGTAGGCAAGTATATCTCAGAAAAATTATTCTAGTCTCAACCGCGAGTCAAAACTACAAAACGGTTTCTGTTCGTCATTTTAAGATTGGTTCTAGTCATTTAGTGTTTCTCTTTCTTCCGATAACACTGAGTTTCCAAACAACATACAATTTTCTATTTACTTCGAGTGATTTTATGTACTAGGCTATTCCGCCGCCGCCTGTCTCAAAAGATTATTTTAGAAAAGAAAAATGTTTTTAATGAATCCAATTAGTCTAATTATATTGGGTCAAGCTAGATTCGAATGATTTTAACAATAAGCCAAATTTATGGCGTTTTTTATGACACTAATTTTATGTCATTCCAGTCCAACGATTTTAGACTTTAAACGAAATAGAAATTCCAGAAGACTGTAAAGAATACTGCATCTCATTATACAAATAATTTAATAAGACACGTAGTTTGAATTATCCTCCGAAAATGCTTCGGAATATCATTCACAGACTCTTGCAGAACATTTAAATTTTTGATATTGTCATGATAGCAAGAAAACAGCGAGGAGCGTCTTAGCGAGAACAGAAATAGAAGCAAATTGCGCAGTTATTTCAGTATGGAAGTTAATTAGGAAAAAAGGTTCCCATTTAAATTTCGAATTAACTATGCCATCATCGTAAAGGTCATATGATATGAATTATTCTAGAAACGACGCAGTGTAGGAAAACGTTATATCTATCTTTAGAATAGAGAGGAGAAATGTATAAATTAAAATGAGGAATTAAAGGGATATCGCTAATTTAAATTATAATTTTGGTATACATTATTGAGTATCTCATATATACATATTAAAATTAGTTAAAAGAAATTTATGAGAAAAAATAAGGCTAAAACTTGAACTGAAGCTTCAGAGTAAGCAATAATATTTATTTAAGTTATAACTTTGGGTGGCCGTATGATTACGGCAAAGCCGCGAGGGCTATCTGCCTAAGGGGAGGGATGACTTCGTGGAGAACTTTCTAAGAGAAACTGGTTCGTATACGCGTTACACATGGGGAAAACCATGGAATCCAGCCAGCCCGTTCGCGGGATTCGAACCTCGGACCGAACTATCAGTGTTCAGCGACTTTACCGCTCGGCCGCTGGTGGGCCAAGTTATAACTTTGATTTGCGTATTTTTACTTTATACATATCTATACATGACAAAATGAAAAGAAAAAATTGTATTAAATTTTACTTATACAATCCTATGTTTTTAATAATTTACAGTAGTATTCCTTTTAAATTTCAGAAATCAAATTTACCGTATATGACGGAACAGAGATTCAAGAATTAATTACTTACTACACGCTTTTGAAAGAATCGAGTACGTTTTTTGCTCAGCTCTTCGATGATGGGCATTATTCACTGAAGCTGTTACGTCTAAAGCTTGATGATCTGAGTTTCAAAGGATTATCCTATATGATAAGGTAAGAAGACGCGATTAAAAAAAGCATTCTTCTCAAATTATAGATAGGAGGGTGTGTGTATGTGTGTGTGTGTGGCTGTGTGAAAAACCCGTATTTGCAAAGCAGAAAATGCAGCCATCAAAGAAAACGGATATCCTACAGGTCACTAGACACCCAATCCCCATTGTACGAGAAATATTTTTGAACCAGGATTGGTAACAATATTTGCCTTCGAACGCAGAGTTGCTGTCATTTCTGACGCGCTTCAATTTGCACCCGGATGTTCTAATTTTACTAAAATTAGGATTTCCTAAGATATCCCAAAGATTTTAGCATATGCGTCACGACGAATAGGATGACTACATGGGTGTTTCTTATTTTTTACTTTGCTTTTTGAGGTTTTTTTAAATTTGTTTATCCCGTTGTCTTCAGTTTGGAACTTTACTGCCACTCTTCTCTTTCCGTTTTCCCGCCAGATTTTTAATTATTTCGTGGTTATATAAGCCAAGGTTTGAGATTTTTAAGTCAAGTGCGTATTCTGTCTCTCTAAGACCTCGTTACTAGGTTTGCTATCCTATACAAGATTTCCTGTCTTAGGCGTTACATTACTTCTTGCTGATAGTTAAATTCACGCCGTTGAAGTCCGAGCCAACTTCGCAATTAAATTCCTCTCTGTAGCGTTTGACTATTAGATATTTAAATTTAGCTTTACATTTGAATGTCTACTTTGAGTGTCTTGGTATAAAGGCTGGCAGGTTTTGTAAGCACCAGGTGTGTGCCTTCTGTAAATCAATTTTAGTTTAAAATAAAATGTCTTTTGCAGGCTTCGTAAATTTCTGTTGTACACTGGCCAAAAGAAAAAAAAAAAGATGGGACAGTTCCATATCTCTCGTTCTACTGGGCCGATTGACGAAATTCAAGTTGCGTTTTTCATGTCTCAAAAGCGCAACTTAGGCTATATATTAGATCTATATATAGCATTATTCTTATATAGGTATTTTGACACAAAATCGGACATTTTCTTAAAAGACATGCCATTTTTTTGCGGTGGTTTAATTCTATATGCAAACTAAAAATATCGCACATGTTACCAATTCTTATAGGCAGTCGCCCCATTAGCGTGTGCACCATCGTCACTTCAGTTTAAAACACACAGAATAAAATATTCAGTGCTATGTTTAGGTAATATACTACAGGTATAGGAAGATATACTTTTTTACCTTTTATGAAATATTGCATGGTATTCAAATAGCAAAGAAAACTATTAGTTCAATGGATTTTAAAATCTGTATTCCATTTATAGGTTTCTCGAACAACGAAGAATAACTATAAGACAACTTGGAGACTTTCATGAAATCTGGAAAGTTGCCTGCAGATTTGGAATGCAAGAACTCCAGAAATACTGCGAAAACCGTTTGGAAAACGTACCCATTACTCCAGATACCGTCAGTGAACTAATGTTTACAACCTCAAACATGGGACTATCATATCTTCATATGAAATGTAAAAAAATTGGAAATGCACTGAAAAGCGAAGCAAATCTCTTAAAACGCTTAGGTTAAGTGGGAAAAAAAAAATAAAAATAAAAAATAAAATAAAAAAAAAAAAAAAAAAAAAAAAACGATATCATCGTGAGGTACTTCTAAATTAAACCACTGAAGGGCTGTTTGAAAAATTTCCAAATTTTTCCCTCACCGTTCCAAGAACAGTGTATAAACGTTAATAGAAGTTTACTACGAAGATTGAACTAAATGGTGTAATCCTTTACAGAAAACTTTCACACTTTATGATTATGCTAAATACCTAAGTTCTTATTTCAGACAGGATAACATTTTTAATAATACCTCATTATCGGAATTAAAAAAAAAGCTTGGAGGAATCTTTTCAGATTAAACATATTCAAATGCAATTTACTTAGTGAAATACCGTTTCAAATCTGTTGTTAAAACCAGGTCGTCATGCTTGAATTTCCTTTTATAATAAATAGAGATTGTAAACTCTTTTCACTCAGACTGAGAAGAATATCGAAAATGGGAAATATTGGAAAACGAGACAGACAACACAGTTAGGTTTCGCTATTTCGTTTAATGTCGTTACGTAAAAACCTTAAAAAACCAAAGCCTTCACTAACTTGTAAACTTGAAATAATAAAAACGTCCAAAATTCCTTTCGAAATTCGCAGAAATGTCCTCCCTTCCACGTCCATTAAGGCACAAAGAGGTGTGAAGATTTCTAATGACATCCTTTCTGTTTCCTAACAAAGAATCTTCCATTAGCCTTTTAGGACAATCTGTCTGCAACAAACTGATAAAATACATTTGTCGAAACTGCACCTGCTACCGTATGCCTTACGGGAGAGGGACGGAAACAGCATCGCAATTAGCGCCATTTCGGCGGATGTGGTCGTTTGAATGAAAGGATGTCTCTCGCATTTTGGCTTTCAAAAGTTTAGAAGTTGGAATTAAAGCTGTAACTCAAAATGCCGAATATGATGGGATGCGCAATTTTCATGCACTACAGGTGTGCATAGGTAATCTTCATGAATATAAAAACAAAAATTTATATGCTGCTATTGCTTAAATGTAGATTTTAATGTTGAGTCTGTTGATATGTCAATTAGTTGCTCCTTTTCCTTCACTGGCAAGCCTTCTGCTCTATCGTAGTATTCGAATGGAAATTTTACAAAATACTGCTTAATTTTATTTCCTTAAATGAAGTATTGTAATCGCGAAAATTTTCGGGCATCATATTTCAACGAAAATATGCATTTTGTACACTATCGAATGCAAATTAACTGTCTTTTTGCTTGACATCTGTATGTAAGGGCAAAATAAAGGCCTCTTTTTCCCGAGACGGATTGCAAAAAGGATTTAAAATAATTTCAGAACAAATTTTTTTCCTGACGTCTGTACGCACTTAGGTATGTATACATCTCGCATAACTGAAAAAAAAAAAAAAAAAAAAAAGAGAGTAGCCACAGTACTTTGAAATTTTGTATACAGGACTGCTATATGTGCACCTCCCTTTTTGGTTGCAATCGGCAGCACAAAAAGTATATAAATAAATATAAATATGTACCGACTCTATTACTCGGCTCCGTGAGCTCAGTTTTTTTTTCATTCTTAAATGACTATTTTTCTTATCTGCCGGTTAAAGTTTGCCTTTAGTTAATCTGCATGCAATAGGTGTACAATTATCAACAATTTAAAAGTTGTTCAATTGCAGCTAAGCCTAATTTTTTTACCATAGCAGCCATATTTGTCTTCATTTGAAACTTAGCAGAATAGTGAATCAAGTCAGTGTCTGCACCTTCAGTGTCTTTTCGCCGAGTGGGACCAAACGAAAACTTTCAGTTTTTTGCACCGAAAAATATCCCTCCTGCCCACTGGCTGAACTGATTGCGTTTGCGTAGAATGTCCAATTTCTATTGCAATTTTTTTTTTAAATTCTTTTAACTGTATTTGGTGTTTTATACTTTTCTATATTTTTCAGTTTTCAATAAAGATATTTGTGATTTTATGTATTTTTGCCTTTCACGAAGTGAGAACTTAAAATTAATTGAATGAGAAATATATCTCTAGTGAATTTCGAGGAAATGAGTTTAAATGAAATGCAGTAAAAATGCGTATAATTTAATATTCCTTACAAGGAAGTCATGTGGTGTACACATCAGAATTTTTCCTTCAAGGAAATATTCTCTTATAGTTTTCTTCAATAGAAAAAGGTGCTCCTTTGTGTAATTTTTAATATCGTCTTCCAAATTTAATTCATTTTCTTTAGAAACCGCTTTTTTTTTTCTTTTGGCAAAGCATTGCAAGTCATTCTGTTTGTCATATTACTACTACATGCTAAAAACTGATCTATAACTGAATGTATTTTTATGTATTTTATTTCTTAAACACTAGAGAACTATTGTGAACGCTTTATAATTTTCTTCTTGAATTTTTATTTTGATTTATGGAATCTAAAGTTTGATCCACGGAAGTTTTTTGGAACACAGTTTGAAGACCACTTGTCTGAATGACATTAACGTTCCTTGTTTATGGAAAGAAAACCATTGGTGTTTCATAATTTCAAAATTTTACTTCGGCCCACTATGGAGATTAGATAGAATGTTAATTAGATAGTAGTCATTCGAGACTGGAAGTATGATGCCAAATTATCAGATCTATTATTGTATTATCTTATTATTATATATGTGTCAGATCTTATTATTATATATGTATTGTTATGAGCCCGTACGGGACCCATTGTTAACCCGAATCCATTAGGGGATTCCCCGTACAGACTTGAATGCACAAGTGCGATAAAAGGTAATTGAAATTTGTTCTTATAAAAAGAAATATAATGCAGCGCTGGAATATTTCTCAGAAATATTTGTACAAGTGTTCACAATATTACGCACTAATTATCAGTAGTTACACTTTAAACTGCAAAAAACGTTAAATAAAGCGCAAAGCACGCACAGAAAACTAACCCGACCAATAATAACAACAGCAGCTAATTAAACAACTGAGCCAATGCCAATGATTAAGTATTTCGGAGTGCCTATGGTTCTAAACCATGTACCTCGACATCATAAAAATATCCAAGCAGCGAGCAGAAATAGTAAATTACATAGTTAGTTAGTTTGATTTAAGCTAGAGGGAGCCACATTAACACGAGAGAGTTTAGTTATGAAAAAAAATCATTAAGACAAAAGTTTTGATTTTTTTTTTTTTTTTTTTTTGGTTTTTTACAACTTTTTTTGTATTTTTAATTTTTATTTCGAGGGGAGCATTTTATATTTTTATGGCATAGATAAACACAAAAGCAAAAAGCGGAGAGGAAAGAATTTAGAAATTAAGAGGCTCATTGGCATATGGCGTTAAATCAGAATGTAGTAACGTTTGTGAAAACGCGAGGAAATATACAAGGCAGAAATTTATTCTACGGGCATGATGTGATTTTTAAAGGAACAGATTAATAACAGTGCGAAGAAGGCCACTTTTCAGTTGAACTTGAGTAGCAGTTAGCAATTTGTCATAATTAGTGAGGAAGAGCAAATTTAGAAGATAGAGATGTCCGTCCTTAACGGCGCGGGCGATGGAAGTGAAGAGGCGAGATCGTATCTACGGCTTTTAGCAGGAAGATAGATGCCGTACTCTCGGCCCATGAAGGCTTTTGGCCGTTTTTGTGAACTTGGAATACCAGGATCGTCGACAGGAAGCTTTGGAAGTACTTCGTTATCAAACTGTTCAAGTTTGAGGAACAAATTTTGATTACTTTTTTTAAATAAGATCATCAATTGGTTTAATGTTAAGGACCGAGTGAATCACATCAGTACGGACGTACCAGGCTGCACTAAGGACTAACCGTAAGGTTTTACTTTGAAGGGCATGTAATTTTTTTATGTGAGTCTTCGCAGCGGGACCCCAATTGGTACATGTATATATAAAAATTAGTCGAATAATTGAAGAATACAGAAAAGCTTTGTTTCTGATAGACAGATGGCTCTTTCGAGCTAATAGGGGGTAAAGTTGGAATCTGACGCTCTTCACTTTATTGAGAATATTCTCAATGCGAAGATGCCAGAGTAGTTTTGAATCAAATATCACTCCTAGATACTTACATGAGTTTGACTAGGGAATATAGTCATCAAAGAATTTTTAAATTAATGGGCGGGTATGGGAGTCAAGAGCGTGTGAATATGATGGTAGTACATTTAGCGACATTAATTTTGATTTTCCAAGTAATGAGCCAGTGCTCAACGCTTGAGAGATAACTCTGAATGTTGTGAACCAGTTTTTATCCAATTGTTTGTACTTGGAGAGGATGGCCGTGTCATCTGCATAAAGTGCTAGAGTGACACGGGGTGTTTTTGATATGCCATTAATAAAAATGCTGAACAAAAAGGGCGCTAAAAGTCTGCCTTGTGGCACGCCATTTAGAATTGGGATGGGGCGTTGAAATAATAGAATTAACTCGCGCTGAGAAAGAACGATTAGTGAGATACGGTTTGTGAATAATTTGAGCCGAATATTAAGTCGCATGAGCTTGATTATGATTCCCATATGCCAAGTCCTATCAAATGCTTGCCAGCGATGTCAAGAAAAATTACACCGGTAAGCATTTTGCTACGAAAGCCTTCGTGAATGAACTCCACTTCCTCAGAAGCTGGTGCGCTTTGCAGTATTTTGCTCGGAAATCAAATTGCTCGTCAATAAGGACTTTCTAGCTCAGGAGAAAATCATTCAGGCGTTTAAGTAATACCAATTCGTGTATCTTAGATAACGAAGACAGGAGGCTGATGGGTCTGTAATTTTGAAGATTTGATTTGGCATAGGACAGGTGTTTGAATAGGCACTATAAGTGCACGATTCCAGCTTTGAAGAAAATAACATATAGTTTATTAACATTACTAAGAAAAATATATAGCTGGTGGGAAGTCGTTAAGGACTGAAAATATTCGGTGTATCTTGATTGGCTGTGCTGATCACATAATGCCTTGATCTCATTCTGGAGAGTACGAAGTTTTAATTAAGTCTGGACTCCTAGTTCTTTCCCAAAGTCTTCGTACTTTGTTCTTTTCTCGAATTTTGTTTTTAATCTCAGTTGGAAGTATAGAAAAATTGGGCCAAAGGGTGGGTTTGGATACTTCTTTGAAGGTATTTGTTAAGGTAGAAGTTAATTGATCAACTGGCTTATCAGTATCATCATTGGATTTAATTTCAATGGAGGGTAAACTTTTACTATTAAGTTTAAATCGAAAATTGTCCCAGTTTCTTAAGACTGCCGGAGAATTTTGATTAAATGAATTACAGTTAAGGTCGATGAGTACTGGGTTATGATTTTGGGATAGACAAATTTCCACAGTCATTTGGTAGTCGAATGGAATATTCTGAAAAAGAGCCAGATCAATAAATGAGGGGGCTTCCCGTACGTCATATCGTGGGCGAGAATCCGGCTCAATAATTTTAATTTGGGCGCATTGAACCCATTTCAGAAGGCCACGGACAGCAGGGTTGGATCTTTTGCAACTCCAATACTGATGATGACAATTTAGATCACCAGCAATAATCATATTGTCTGAAATAGTGAGCAGCTTATTAAAATCTTCCACCGAAAATTTGTCACCTTTTCGATTAAACGGTGGAAGATAGGCAGAGATCAAGCCTAAGGAGAGTGAATTTTGAATAAAAATTTCGATAATCGTCGCCTCCAGTGTACTCAGACACGCGGTATCTATTCTTCGGTCAGAAATATGATTTTTGATGAAGACACATGTACCACCATGATAAAAAGCACAAGAATCCGGTGCTTGTCTGTCGTTTTGATAAAAATTGAAATTTGCAAACTTTGGAACTCTCCCTGGCTGGAGTTTAGTCTCTTGGACAAAAATAATGTCAAAGCCCTTCTCTTCGACATAGTCAGAAAAATCATGGATAAACAACTGAGCTGTATCTCTCCAGCTTTTTAAAGCTTTCAATCGGTCACGAGAGAAGTTTAATAATTCCTTTACTTCTCTAGATTTCTGGAAAGCAATAAGAAGATGGAATTACGGTTACGGCTAACATAGTATCAACTACTTTTATTGAATTTCAACACAAAGAAAAGAGATATTAATTTATTCAATGTTAAATGCACGTGCTCTTATATTTTTAATTTTCGGGGTCTCTGTCTCTTAAAATTTATCACGCGCTGCATTGCACGGGGAATAAAACAATTTTAATTATAATTCTACTAAAAAGTGCTAGCTAAACACGAAATTCGTAATAGTATCATTTTCTATTACGCTGAGAAAGATGAAAACCCTGATATTTTAGAATCTAATCAAACAGATCTAATTTCAAAATTCCATTTGCAGAGTTTTTGCCTTTGTATTTCCTCGTACGGAATATTAAATTATATGCATTTTACTGCATTTCATTTAAATTTATTTCGTCGAATTTCAATACAGGTATATTTCTCATTCAATGAATTCAGTTAGTCAGAATATTTTTGAAGATTCACGTTTTTGACAAGGTGCAGGAAAAATGTACATTTAATATTTTAAAATGCAAAATATATAATTATTATTAATTATGCTAATTATTTACCTAAACCTTTTGTGTTCTGGTAGGTATTTTATCGGGAAAAGAGGAAAGTATTATAGTAAATCCTTGGTATCGAATACTTTTGTCGAATTGTTGATGTAGATAATGCCAATCTGTGAAAGTTTAAAAGAAATATCACTATATTTTTCCGACAAATTTGCCTTTTTTCAACAGAGCTCCCAAATATGATATTTACAGTATGACACAGAAGTCGGTACTGAAATGCCTGATAATCCAAGTCAAATAACTCATACCCTCCTGATAAATTGTATGTAAATAATTATCACTTTCCAATAAAATGGTACAAACATACGTTTCTTTCTACTTCCTTGTACGAAGTAAAAAGGAAGTATTGTAATCGCGAAAAATTTCGGGTATCATATTTCGACAAAAATCTCCATTTTGACGGCTATCGAAAGCAATTTAACGATGTTTTTGCATGAC